TTTAAAGTAGCACTTATATCAGCCACAGAGCACATATTTATTTTTTACATCATACAAATTGAGTTTTATAATTCTATGTATGTTTTTAGATGATTAGGATAAAAATGTAATACTTTTAAAAAAAGAAGTTGACAAACTGAATGAAAAAATCTGACAAAAACTAGTCTCAATTACCTTATACAGCCCATAAGACCATGAAATTATATTATATTATCAAAAATTATGAGTAGCTGAGGCTCTATTTTTTCTTGAAATTGAGATTCTCAGTGACAAAGTGGGGATTCCCAACCTGGTCAAGCAGGAAAGAAGTGACTTGAGTCGCTTTACGCAAGTTTTACTTCTCCCAAAATAAAAGCACGCAGTTTTACTTCTCTTTTCACACTTATCTAAAAAAGTAGAGCTGATATGAAAAAATTGATTTCATATTTAGATTCAACACCCCAAATATAACTAAAATCAGTTCCAAAATCCTTGGCACCAAACATTTTTTTTCTCTCTTGTAAGACTGTTATGAAAGAGTCTTTGGTTTGGCATTGTCGGTGATTCAAATGCACTTTAATTATGTAAAAGAAATATAAGATAAATAAAAGTGATCAGAATGGTAGAAGTATATAACACATTTTGTGTAATTTCTTTTGTTTTTTATTTCTATGATCTATAGTAATTAATGCCTGTTATGGAAATATCCTACAACAATGAAACCGAATTTCTATTTGGATGTAGATTTTCAAAACTAGTTACTTTATACTATGGCAGTATATACTATTCTGAAACCTTTTCAATAAATCTTTTTACTTTCACTTACCTATAAACAAAATTTACAGTATAGGATAGTATTGCCATTGTGAAAATTTTCAAAATCTGAGTTTTCAGTGAAATACACCTTTTGAAAATCCATGAGCCCAAAGAACTCTCACAAAAGAAGTCTCACAAAATAGTCTCTGTGCGAATGTGAATAGCCTAGCTCAAAAATATGAAAATTTGTTCAAAACTTGAATGATGTATTACATGTAGGATATGCCTGCAGTGCTGCCCTTAGGGTGAAGCAACCGAGGCAACCGCCACGGGACACTGACCTGAAGGGGTGCCTGTCAGAGGCGCTGGCCGATCTTCAAGGGCCACTTGTTAGAAATAAAAAAACAAAACAAAACATTAAAATAATCAATGTTAGCCTATCAATAAAGCAACTGTAAGAAATGTTAAATGGAATAAAATCAAATATTACATAATATAAAACAGCTTAAGAAATAAATTAATATTTTTAGAGAGAGGAGATGACATGGGGGTGCCGAATGTCTAAGGCCAGCACTGTATGCCTGGAATATAATAAAATTTTTATTGATATTTTGGGTGTTATATTGATTCGGTATTTATACCAGTCTCATTCTATACATTGATAATTTGGTTTAAGAAATCAAGATTATTATTAATAAGATAAAATAAAAAAATATTATTTATTTTAAAGTAATTTTGTCTAGCAATACAATGATTGAGGAAGATTTATAGTTTTACTTCCAGAAGATTTATTAAAAACTTTTACATTTCCCATGGAATTCATGAATTAAACCATATACAGAAAGATTTATTTCTATATCGTTATATTTGATTAAATTTTGACTATTAGGCTACCTTAAAACCTAACTTGCTTAGTTATTAACCAATTACCATTATTTTCTAAACATTTCGGGGATTTTTCACATGTTCAGAACCATATCTAATTGATGATGATCTACCTGTTCTTCCAGATTATTCTCCAATTTTTGAGATGTTTGCTTATATTAAATTTGAGTTCTTAGCCGATTTCCATATTTATATTCATATCTTTTGAACCGAAATTTAATCAAATAGATTTAAAAAGACTTCTGAGAAAATTCAAAATATATAAATGTACACAAAGAAATTGGTAAAAATAATAATAAGCCAAAATATTAAGAATTGAAGAAGAATCTGAAATAACTTCTAAAAGGTTCTGATGGTGGGGAAAATATTTATTCTGCAGAGAAAGTTTTCAACTCCTGAATGGCACTGCCAAAGTATTTAATCCTTTACAGATGTTTCTTTTTATTTAATATAATATACTTTTTTGTTTAATATACTTTATTGGTTAATAAACTATATATCTGACAACTACGTTGTGACTACAAAGTTCGCCACTGTTCTAAAACTTTCTAAAACCTTCTAAAACTTTAACACATTTTTAGGAACATTTATTTCTATTTTAATAATTTTAAAAATACTCAGTGGATTACTACATTCTTGTCTGCATGTCAGAGGTAAACTACCATAAACAGTAGGTGGATCCAAAAGGAGAACTTTTGGGCAAAAATTCCTCAAAATAAAATAAAATAGGAAAATAATTTATTGAATACTTAATAGTTGACCGTTGTTTTATTAAGGAAGGAGATGGGCCCGGGTTACAGTCATAAATAGATTAAGTCGGGTAGAAATGTTGGCTTTTAATAAAATAGTTTTGCCACTATTTAGTCTTCCAATGCCTCCTGTAGATCTGTAGGAGTATATTCACAATTGCATATATTATATTATATATTATACTGCAACAATTGTTACCCTCTATTTACTTCTGTTTAGGATCTTGTTACTTACCTTACTCTGTTTTTATTTTAATGTACTTGCTGTTTATAATTTTAATAAGTTTATTCAAATTGTTTATAATTTGTTGTCTAAATATTATGTAACTTCCACAATTCTCTATATCTTTTTGTATTTTGTCCGTTCTAGCCCTGAAGAAGACCTGTAAAGTCGGGTAAAATTGTTGGCTTTTAATAAAATAGTTTTGCCACTATTTACTCAATTTATGACCTCTACCCGGACCATCTCCTTCCTTGGAAAATAATCTATTTTTCATTTGTCCATATAATTTGTTATGAATAATCTGAGCCAAATACTTAAACAATCATAATATTCATACAAGTGTGTGTTAAGGAAAAATATAAACATTTAATTTCTAAAAGCATAATTGTTCCTGTAATCCTGTAAAAAAACGTTAGCCCTCACTCAAAACAGAATATTGAATTCATTACTGATACTAAAATTTTAAAGTTTTACGGGAAAAAGATAATTTTCAGATGTTTCTGTGTTTCCTGCCAAGTTGGGGTCAATCTTTATATTTGAAGTTTTTATTATTCTTTTGAAGACTTCATTACCCATTTTAATTATTTATCATGCTTGTACTCTGAAAACATGACAAAAATAATGCAAACACAATAATAAAATCATAATCAACAAAATTGAACAGTTTACATTTCAAAAACCAGTAACACCACAACCATGGAGGGTCTCAAGTTAAACACTTTTAAAGAAGTACTGTTTCTTAGATTGATCCAGTTCCTTACTTACTGAGCTACACCATCTTCAGTTCACATCTTGAATATATATTATTCACTTCCCCTAGTGTAAAACAAACAAATTTTAAAAAACGACTGGCCCACTGACTTTTTTTTTTTTTTTTTTTTTTTGTCATTGGAAAGGAAAATAAAATAGGATTTTTTTTGGCAATTCGGTGTTATTTAGGACTTTGTAGACGTTTTGTGAGTGATCACCAATCCAGACAAGTGAAAATATATCTCTATAAGGACCCTCCTAAGCCATAAGCACAATGTCTTCTGATGGACCCTTTTGAAGAATAGTGAACAGAAGCTTGAATCTTAGAAAGAAAAGTTTTCTATAAGATACTGACAGGAAACAGAGTAGAGTAATGAATGGTGGCAGTAAGGGATCCAGGATTTAATTTTGGGGGGGAGGGCTTCACCCAGAATGATTTATTTGTTATGCCTATATTAGGATAATTACGTCGGAAGAAAGAAAAAAACTAACTATCTATGTGAAATGTGTTAAAGTGATTCTTTAAGTCCTATTAAATTTAATTACACGAACAATAATACTTTTAAAGATAATATTTTTCATAAAACATGGCAAAATTTAACACTTTGGAGGAGGGACTTCAGTCCGAAACGCCCCCCTCCCCCCTCCCGTAGATCCGCATGTGAATGGTAGATAAAGAGCAACCAGAACCTCTTAGTTCTAAATCAAGCGCCAACTTAAAGAAGTTTTACTCAGTAAAATTTGGGCTAGCCATGTTGCCTGAATGGGAGTGAAAAGATACCAAGAAAGCTGCTGAGATAACAGCTGTTGTAGGAAGATCAGTGGAAGGCAAGAGTGATTTGGGAAAACATGTTCCACCTATGGTTGGCAACAGGAATTGGATAATGGCTGTCAGAGACAGACTTTGGCAGGACTGGAGAGGGCTCTAGGGACAAATTCTCAGGCACTCATCAAAGTTCAACACTCAATATTTATGATTTAAAAAACTAAGTTTATAAATGTAATCTAAATTTATAATTTAAAATAAATTCACCACTCAACATTTATGACAGTCAACCTTTCTGTTTCACCTTAATACAAGCGTCGTACCTCCCTTCGCCCCCCCTAAATATTACGATAGAGAATTGATTGATTATTATTTTTATCAAGGAGCTTCAAAATAAGGATTTAAAATTTGTAACGCTGTTTGCTATATTATTCAAATTTTAAGATGAGATAGATTTATATAATTCGTAAAAATCTGAACAAATTCTGACAGTTTAATTGATTTTGTTTATATTTTAACTTTTAAACTAAAACTAAAAAAAAAATTGGATCATTTATATTCTATTATATCTAGACCTAGGGTTATACTTAACCACATTATACGTTTCTAATTATTATTTGGTAGATAAATTGAACGTTCTTCATTGGTTGGTTTAGTGGTGGATTTTATGAATTTTTAACTTAGTATGTATTGTTGTTTTAAACTTTAATTCAATTGATTGTATTTTAATTTAAAATGATGGTTTATTGCACCGAAATCCAATTTTTTTTAATAATCGAAGTTGGTTTTTAATAGTATTGTATTCAACAAGTAAGGTTATACCGGCCGTTGAATGGTATTACATTGGGTTTGAATCTTCTTTGCTACTCGTCTTGTTGTGTTTTTTAACGAAATGGAGATTTCAGAAGAGAATTTACACACCCTCACTAACTATTTAATGCAGACACTAAGCCCAGATCCCAATGTCAGGAGACCTGGTGAGTTCATTGTACTTTAATAAATTAATGTATTTTAGGTTGTCTCTTCACACTTAAATTCTTTCAATTATTAAACTTTTAAAAAGAAATCGGCGCATTTTTAATTTATTTCACAGGTTTATCCTATAATTATTATTAATGCTGTTGCAGTTATTTATTATTACAAGATTTATGCAATTTTTAATAATATTATATTTTAGCAAAAATGTAATTAATGTATAAGCAACACAATTCTGTGATTATAAGCTTTTAACATTTTTTTGTCGTTAGACTCATGATTTTTAGCTGATAAGTACATTGTATAACTGAATTTTAATGAAAACTGATGTTATAAATTTTTCTGTTATCAGATAAGTTTAGGTTTTTCTGTTGAAAATTCAGTCTTGAATGTTCTAGTAATTGATTTTGTGCCGAACCACAACTAACTTTCATTTTATAGTTCTAATTGCATTTATCTGTGAAATGTGTTATTAAAATATATAGAAATGTTCCTTAATTCAGTGTTGAACTCATCTATGGTATCAATTTGTTAAGTTTACTTATGGATTTAGTGTCATCGATGAGCTATTATGTATTACTGAACTAAAACTTACACAATTCTTAGATGTTTATTTTCCTGAAAAACAGTATACCTCAATATTTATTTATATACTCCTGTTAAAATTGTTTATTAAAAAAAATCTTAAATTATTATTGATGTTGTTATTTTACTTAAGTGACATTTGATATATTTAACCATAAGAACCTTTGATTTTCATTTTATTTTTGCGATTGTAAACAAATCATGACATCATTATAATTCTTTTCAAAATTGTTTTATGGTCATTATCATGTCAATACTTACTGAGCTTATTTCATGATATGTTCCAAGTAAAGACAATGTAAAATTGTTAACTATTTTTCTAAATTATATCTGAATGAAAGGATAATATTGATTCTATAAATAAATATGTTTTTATTTTAATGCATTAACTTGACTTTTTCAGCTGAAAGGTTCCTTGAGTCAATAGAGATAAATAAAAATTATCCTATTTTACTATTACACCTTATCAATAAAGAGGATGTCCATTACACGATTCGTGTCGCTGGTGCAATCACTTTTAAAAATTACACTCGCAGGAATTGGCCAATAGTAAGTAAACTTTAATATATTTATTTTCACTTTGTTGAAATGCCTAAAATAAGTTTTAAAGATGTTTTTGTTAACTTGGAGTATTGAACTGGCCATTGGTTATTGATAGAACTTGGTATACATTTTTCTTATTGGCCTTATAACAATTCTTTTGGAGCAAATCGACTCTACTTTATTGATGAGGAGAAAGGTCATTTAAGAACAAGTGGGCTGATTCCTTACCAAGGCCAGGGACATGCTCTAAGTGACTAACTAGGAGACTGATGGCAAAATGAGTATACATGAGTTACACGTTTACATATTGTTATGTAATATTATATGTTTTCTTAGATGATTACCTTGTCATCAGTTTCCTGGCTAGTCAATCTTGGTGTATCGCATGCTGAACATTCCTTCTAGAGCTTAATTAACTCTTCCCCATGGTGCTGCTCTCACCTATGTTCAAGGATTTATGAAGACCAGTTTAACTCTATTTTATTAAATATATTTATTTACCTTCTATTATTACTATTTGTTAATGAAACTTGGTATTTGTCTCTTGATAACAGACTATAAATGCTCAAAATACCGACTAAATAAATAAGGGTAAATCATTCGTTTATCCGCTTTCTGGAAATAATCTAGGGGAGGATATGATAAACCTGACTAATAATGTTTTTAACTAAAGAAATACGATGTTCAAACTATCTTATCCTTTTTATTCATAAGAAACCCATTCACTTTTTAAATAAATAAAGGGAAAATAGATTTGACTATTCTTTAATTACTTATCTATTATATGTTTAGAATGATGACAACTTGGAAAACAAGATCGATCCTGAAGACCGGCAACGGGTCAAAGAGTTGATAGTAGATGTTATGTTGGTTGCACCTTCTAGTATTCAGAAGCAGCTTTCTGAAGCAATTGGCACTATTGGAAAGTGTGATTTCCCAAAAGATTGGCCTGGGCTTCTGACAAATATGGTCGAGAAGTTTGCCGGAGGTAAGTTTTTATACAGCGTTGTATGTAAATGATGTCTGAATCTTATAGTGGTGATAATGGGCTTGACATGGAGCCGAAATGTTCATTTGGGCTTGGTCCGATCCCGAACAAGAAAGAACTAAATTTAAGTTTTGTGTTTTTTTTTTAAATTTAGACAAGTTTTTTGTTGTATAGGAATCGATAACCATGAAACTATTTGATAACTATGAAAGTTATGTAATTTTCATATGCAATATCCTAACATAGACAATGTTTAAAAAGAAAGTTGGAAACACTTTTTTTTAAACTATATTATTTAATCAATTTTAAATTCATGATAATCAAATTGAGTTTGCAAATTGAAATTAATCGAATTCATTTTAGGCATAGAAAATTGTTCAATGAATAAAATTACACATTAATTATTAAGTATATGAATGTTCGACAAGATGGTAATTAATTATATTTTTAGCTTTTACCAATTATACTTAAAATGAAAAACATCATTTTTCATTCTAAACAAAGTAAAAGTATTTAGTTTTAAATACCCAATAATGAATTTACTCTTTAAAGCTTTGAGAACTGTTATAACCTTAATTATAAGAGAACCTTAATTATAACAAATGAAATTATCTTTTAAAAAATAATAAAATTTACTGATTGACTTATAATAATATTTTACTAAATGTTCTTGGCAATGATAATATAAAATGGATTATTATAGCCTAGTAGCATTATAATAATATATAGTAAAGAATTTTATTTGTTTTTAATTAAAGTTTTTAAAATTTTGCTAATACTTGTTCCTGACTAGTTCTCATTAATTCGTGGATACTTCCAACCACTGATACCTTCTAAAGAAGTAATTATTCTTCCCCCTTTAGATCACGCATCTTCCTCTGTTGCCTCCATGGTTTTTCTCTTGAATCTGCCTGTTTCATTGAAGTGCCTTTATTAAAACCCATATATTCTTGCTCAAATATAGGAATGGTCTTATCAGTTGTCTTCAATACAATTATATATTTTAAATTAAATATTTTAATAATCATATAATTTGTATTTAGGTATTTCAAAAATCAACGTATTTATCTTATTATAAACATGCTATAAATGATATATTACTAGTTTGTTTTCGACTGTTAATGCTATTCATTTTTTTTTTTCAAGGTGACTTCCACGTCATTAATGGAATTCTACAAACTGCCCATTCCATATTCAAAAGATACAGATATGAATTCAAATCTCAAAAGTTATGGGAGGAAATAAAGTTTGTCCTGGACACCTTTGCAAAGCCTTTGACTGATCTGGCTGTGGTTTGTATTGATTTTTTTTTAATGTCCGATTTCTTTTATTTAATGATTTATTTTTTATGAAAATAATCTATATTTATATCAATTTATAACTTTTATTATTAATTATAATTATAATTTATTTTTTAGGCTACGCAAAATCTAACTCAAGTACATGCTACAAATCCAGATGCTCTACGAGTGATTTATTCATCACTGCTCCTCATTTCAAAGATTTTTTACTCTCTAAATTTTCAGGTAATAGAAATAGTTTAATTTTCATTTATGTTCTTCTTTTCATTTATTATTTCTTTATTTTATTTTAAATATTTCTATTTTGTTTTATAGGATCTGCCTGAGTTCTTTGAAGATAATATGAATATTTGGATGCCACTATTTCATACACTCCTTACTACTGATGTTAAGTGTCTTCATACTGATGTAAGTATTTATATTTTTGAAGAGATGGATGGTTGGGTTGATCAGGCAAAATAAAATAGTAAAAATAAATAATTATATTTATCTTTACATTCGCCGACGTTTAGGCCTGAAGTTCAGAGGTATACGAAACTATAATCATTGAATAATAAAGAATTAAAATTAAATAAGGTGAAAGATATAGACTAAAAATTTAGTTAGAAAAACTTAACTTAAAATGAAGTAGATAGAGTGAACATTAAAGTAAAACAAAGTAGGTAGAATGATAACAGTAACAGAGAGGAAATAGAGATGGAGATATGGAAAATAGAGTGATGGGAAGGACGAAGAAAAGGAGAAAACTAAGATAAGAAAAATAAATGGACCTGCTCTACCAATAAGCAAAGACAGACAGACATATTGTAGTGGGAGGGAGGGGAGCTAGCAGATGGCGCCCTCTGCAACGGTTGATCGAAAAATGTGAACTAAAGCAGAGGAATGTATATGATGGACGGGATTAGAGGGATGAGAGGTTTATTATAGGTAATATTTTCTTTATTTATAATAGAGTACTTGATCTTGGTGAAACGTGAGATTAAAAAAAAACAAAAATGAATTTCTTTAATGAGACTAAAGAATAAGAAAACTGAAGGTTGAATGGAAATGAGCAAGTCTATTTATAAGGCGATAGAGTATAAATATCTATGTGGAAAGCGTGAGGGAAGGGAGCTGGCAGATAGCGCTGTTTGTGCGAAAATGGTTTGAAAATCCTGCGTTACAGCGAGTGGTGGGAGCAGATCAGAAGATATAAAAGATAACACTTAATCCTCAAGAGATGCCGGTCGGCCCACTTCTCCACTGGTTGCCTCCGAGACAGCACCAACAACAGCACTTGATGCAGTCAGCCATCTACACCTCAGGGCTAGGTAATGAAGAGATGTGAACTGGCATAAAGATGGTAAGCTATTTTCGCACAATCAGTATAACCTACCAATCCATTAAAATACAGTCCACTGCATAAAAGTAGAATTTTGCCTATTAAAAACTCATGACACTTATTTGCCTTGCCTTAATTTGAAAAGTTTCTTAAACAGGCGCTCACAGCAACAGTTGACCGAAAAATGTGAACTAAAGCACAGGAACGTATATGATGGACGAGAGATTTATAATAGATAATATTTTATTTATTTTTAATAGAGTACCTGATCTATGTGAAACGTGAGATTAAAGGTAATAAAAATGAATTTCTTTAATAAAAGGATTTCCCGAAGGCCTGAATTTCGGGCCGAAACGTCGGCGAATAAATACAATTATTTATTTTTACTATTTTATTTTGTCTGATCACCCCAACCAACCTTCTCTTCAATTATTCAGTCAATCATCAACTCACAATTATTTATATTTTAAAAATAAAATAATGAATGTTTTACTGTCTATCTTAATATAACTGAAAGTTTAAGCTGCAGTCTACAAATACTACAGAAAAATATTATCTTTCATTTATGTGAAAATCCATTTTTAAAATCTAATTGATCCAATTAACCTTAAAATTTTATTTGTGATTATAAAAATTATCTCTTTTTCTTTTTCTAAATTATATGCATACTGACTTTGTCAGTAGATTTCAAACTTGCTAAAATTGAAGTATAGTTTGTATTAGTTAATTTAAAAGAACATGTGTTGCACAGATTGCTGGTTTATTGAGCTATAATTATTTTCATTATTAAAACGAAAAACTAACATTTTAAAAAACAAGAATTTAAATTTTAAACTTTTGTCAATCCTATTATCAATAGTATTAACTGATTATGCATATAATTGGTATTGATTTTAATATATTTAATTTTGTCTTGAAATATATATTTTACATTAAATCCGAAGGGTATTCAGTTATTAAATGATTTTTATATTTAAAATTAGAGTCAGTTATCCTCGGCCGAACTCTCTCCTAGTTGAGAGAGAAATTAGCCCTCTAGTTATCATACGTAAGCCTAATACTATTTTATTTTTTTATTTAGTTGTAAGCTAATTAATATATTTTTGCTTGCAGTAGATGGAACTGTATTTTCTATTTTAATGTATCTTTATTTACATTTATTCATAGGTTGATGACGAGGCAGGTTTACTTGAGCAACTGAGGTCTCAAGTGTGTTCGAATATTGCATTGTACGCACAGAAGTACGATGAGGAATTTCAACCATATCTCCAGGGTTTTGTCACTGATATCTGGAGTCTTCTTGTATCAGTTTCACTTCAGCCTAAAAATGATCTGGTACTATACATTAAATTCTTTTAAATGCTATATATCTTTTTACATTAATTGTGTTTAATTACGATACCGTTTTTGATTTATTATCGGTTTATAGGAAAAACTCACTACTTAAGCTTTTTAATGAGGCTAAACTTTTATAAGCCAATTTTGATCTGAATGAGTAAAAACTCATTAATTGCATCAAAATAACACAAACTAAGCTATATTGTATGTCAAAAATAGTTTCACCAAGTACTTTGATTTCATGATTTTAGTGTTATGATTTCATAGAGGGAAATTTCATTAGATTACTTACAATGGGAGATTGCGGAGGTGGGGTGACCGATTTCAATGAAAGTTTTTTTGGTGAAAAATATTAAACCCATGAGAGGAGAGGAGAGATGTATTGTCTATGTCACAATACATCTCTTCTCCCCCCTCCTTTGCTACGATCTTTACTTTTCCGTTCAACATTGGTGGAGACAGGTACTTTTTCTTTTTTCTCTTTCTTATTTCAGCCTTCTCATTTTCTCCCCTCCTTCCTTTCATTCCTTTTCTCTGTTTTAACTCTTTATTATATTATACGTTGTCTGTACATCTTGATAGACTTTACAATATCTCAATTTTCTATCTAACTATTCTATTCGCAATATCTTAATTTTACTATTTATATTCATTTCTTATATAACTTCATATTCCATTTTTCTGTTTTACATTTTATTTTAAGATTCCCGTTTTAATACTTATGTCACCTTTTTTGATTATGTTTACTTCATGATTCCACACTTTGTAACGGTTATTATTATTTATCTCTTAGTTCTTACTATTGTCATTATTCTAACAACTTCATTTTACTTTAATTTTTTTTACCTACACTACTTATGTTTCTCATAGCTTGTTATCTGGTTCTTTTCTTAGCCCTGATGAAGGCCTGAACTTCAGGTCGAAATGTCGGCAAATGTCAAAATAAATATTATCATTTATTTTTTGCCTTCTTATTTGACTGATCACCCCAACTATTCTTCTCTTCATTATTCACGACAGTCAACCATTTACCCATAATTATAAGGTATAATAAATTCCAAAAACCCATAGACGCTTCCAGTAAATTTTGGTCATAAAAAAAAGATTCATATTTGTTTTTAGGGTCCATTAAAACTCTTAAATACGAGTTTGTTTTGAAATCAAAAAGTATAAATTTTTGGATGTAATTTTTAATAAACCTTATTTATGCTTTTATGAAATAATATAAAATAAAATCAATTTTCTTGTTTTATAGCTTGTCAGCAATGCACTGCAGTTCTTATCAACAATTGCTGAGAGACAACAGTACCGCCATCTCTTTGAAGACAAAAATGTTCTCACTGGAATATGTGAAAAGGTCATTATTCCTAATATACACTTTAGAGGTGAGTTGTCATTTACAGTTTTTTACCCTTTTGATGGTTTGATCCTTGTGCCAAAACTTAAATTGGAACTCTATAGCTCCTTTTCATTTTGAATCCATTGTATTAAATTCTGTGACTTTATTAATTTTTAATAAATTTAAATTATCAATTTAGGTTTTACTTTTTATTGATTAATACAAACACCGCAGATGATATAGCTGTCCATGGAAGTAATCAAGAAGACATTGAGAAGAGAGGCAGAGCAGATCGGCCTACAAGTAAATGACAAAACAAAATATATGATAATAAGCCAAAAATTCCACCCCAATAACAGGACCTGCGTAGAAGGAAGAATCATTCCGGAGAGTAGAAAAGTTCAAATACATCGGCTTCACAATAATCTCAATGAACGGCCAATGGGCAGAAATATACCAGCGTATAAATAGCGCAAACAGAGCTTTCTTCTCCCTCTCAAAGGTATTGAAATCCTGAAAAATCTCAAGAAATCTTAAACTAAGGTTGTACAATGCTATGGTAAAGCCAGTTCTAATATATGTCTGTGAGAGCTGGACACTAAACAGCACCCTAGAAAAATGTATTGAAAGATTTGAGAGCAAAATCCTTCACAGGATAACCGGAGCGATCTGGGATCATAGTACTAACACATGACGAAGAAAGACCAATAAAGAACTGCTTACAGAAACTGGTCAATCAATATCCTATGATATGAAGGCACTGAGATTAAGATGGGTGGGGCATGTAGCTTGTAGCAATCCATCTGGAAGCCTCAACGTAACAAGGAATGCCTCAATAGAAGGCAAACGACCATGTGGAAAGCCAAAAAGCAGATGGATAGATAGAATCAATAAAGATGAAACAGAGCTGTGTGCAGATAAATGGAAAGAAATAGCCCAAGACAGGCAGAGATGGAGCAGGCTTGTTAAGATGGCAAAAGATCTACATGGTCTGTAATGCCAACAGAAAAAAAATATATATATAAACATAAAAATTACAAAATTAATACTATTGTAATTCCACTTAATTTTATTGTAATTATTATAATCAGGACTTCAAATGAAAAGTGTAATTTTTTGGTTAATCATTTTTTATATGATTAGACTCTTTATTTTCAATTCTTTTTTTTGTTATTTTGCTACTAGCAAGTTCTGTTGAAGAACGTTAATTAACATTTTAGGTACCTAATAATTTAAAAATGGCGAGTTAGCAATATATTCTTAGCAAATATTTTTTTTTATTTATTTGGATTTTATACAACTTAAGGAGTCATATCCCCAATACCCAAAAGCCACTGCTCCCTGTCCATTCAATCTCCTTCACGAAGCCCTCTGGCTGCCAAGCTTTCCTCCACGTCCTCTATCCATTTCTTCTTTGGCCTTCCACGCTTCCTTCTTACAGGTGGCATATAGGTATAAATTTTCTTTGGCCAGCGGTTCTCATCCATCCGCATTAAGTGGCCATACCACTTTAAACGTTTGGTCCCGATCAGGTGAAGGATGTTCTTTTGACATCCGACCTTGTCTCTAATAGCTGCGTTCGGGATCCGCTCGATTCTAGATATGCCACAGCTTCTTCTCCAGAAATTCATTTCCATGGAAAGCAACTTATTTTCCATCTTTTTTGTCATTGTCCAAACTTCTGATCCGTAAGTGGCTACGCTTTCTACAAAGGAATGGTATATCATATTTTTAGTTTCTAATCTTATTTCTTTACTCCATAGGGTTGAATTTATCGAACTTATTATTCTTTTACCATTATTTATTTAGCAAATATAACAAAGAAATTTAAGAATCAGATAATTTATTCATGATTAATTGATTAGATCTGTACTCTAAGCCTAGTAAATGTTTATTTCTCATTTAATGTAGCTCATTTTTTCTTTTAATAACTTATAATACATGCAGAATTTTATTACAAAAAAGTTCCTTAGAACTTTTTTCTAAAAATATTCAAGCTCTAATTATTGATATTTCAAAGTGGTATAAACAAAAGGCCTGTTTAATCTTTGTTCACATACTGATCATTGTCTTCTTTAAATATTTTTTATTTCTTATTGTTCAGACGCTGATCTGGAACTCTTTGAAGACAATCCAGAGGAGTACATCCGAAAGGACATTGAAGGTTCTGATGTTGAATCGCGGAGGCGATCTTCATCAGAGTTGGTCAAAGTGCTGGCAGGTCACTTTCCTGAAACTGTCAGGACCATTTTTGGTGCTAGATTACAGGTTAATTCACACTTTGAAATTATTATTCTATTGGATTGTCTTTAATTTTGTGATACATATTAAGCTTAGTATATTAACTAAGTTTGAAAAAATATCATAGCATTAGAAAATAACTAATGTAAATCTGAAAGTGATCAATTTTGTATTGTCCTACTGTAGGAAATGCTTGGAGAGTATAATAGTGATCCAGGTAAATGGAGGTTGAAAAACACAGCTGTGTACATTGTCACATCTCTAGCGGAAAGGGGTTCAACAGCAAAGCATGGTGTTACAAAATCATCTGACCTTGTTGACCTTCATGATTTTGCTGGGCAATATATTATTCCTGAACTAAAAAAAGAAGGTGAGTTAGGTTATTTAGTTTAATATCCATATTTAGGCAATGATAAATGTCTTATTTAATTATTGTAATTTTTTGGACATAAATTAATTGACAGTTGAAGAATACTGTGACCATAGAAATTTAGTTAACCAAAGACAATAAATCATATGGAATATTTAAAGCAACAATCAGATATAATGTAGACTTTAGGTTCTAATACAGTTATTCTTTCAATCCACTCATTTAATAAAATCAACTGTGAGTTGCAAATATTTCTAATAGAGAAATTAAGCAACTTTACAGGATGAAGAAAAAGCTATTTCTTTAAATCTCTCTTATTTTTTTTTTTTAATAATAATAATAAACTGCTCAGCTGCTTACAGGTTTTCATCCTATAGCATCATTTTAATTTTATTTAGTGCGAATAAGATATATTAAGGAAGATGTAGTATCAAATTATCAAATAGGAAGTATTGGTAGCTCACAACTGAAATATGTTTTTACAGTCTACAAAAGTAGTCCAATAAGCTAAATAATAAAAACTCATTTGTTTTATATTTTAAGGTTTGTAATTTATATTATTATTCATTTTAGTGAATACGTTGCCTGTTATTAAAGCCGATTCCATCAAGTACCTCATCACATTTAGGAGTCTTCTTGCCCCACAGGTAACCAATAATTTATTTAATTTTATTTAGTAGTTAAAATATTTCATGTAGTCATCTCATTATTTGGGTTTCATATTGTCATATTTATTTCAATGCAAATTTCAATCATTAAGTGAATTTGAATTATGAAATTTTTTCATAGTCTCAAATAGTATATCATCTAAGGCTTGTGTTACTGTTATTTTATTTATGTATTTCATTCATATGTCCATGTTAGCATCCTCATAATTATCATTATGTTTAAGAAGAGTAAATAAAACCTTATTATAAACTATGAAGTATATTCCAATATGCCTCATAGTGGTGCTCGGTTTGTTGGAGCACTTTCATGACACTGTTGAGTCAGAATTGGTTCAGGTTTTCTGACATAAGAGGGTTGAACTTTTTTTTTTAATTGTAGACCTATTTAGTAAATCTTTATTTTTATTTACTAGCATATATTTTAGGGATTTATGTATGTATGTGTGTGTATATATATATATATATATACACACATACTTGTAAGTAACAAGCTGTTATTAAAACTGATATTTCAACAAAATTGACCTTAAATTTATTTTGATGTAGTTGTTTATTTAGACTTAATGTTCTTATATATTCTACCTATGGTAAGAAGGATGCGTTATCCTGCTTATAGCCAACTAAAATCTAGTTTAGTGATAGTGGGAGGATCAAGATTTATTCCATGAGACTACCTCAAAATAAATTTCAACTCACTCTGATCGGATTCAGGGCAAAGCCTTAACTTGCTTGGGTACTACAACCTCATTTTGGTGCAGTGTAATTATCACTCCAAGGAACCTTGTGGCAGAGTACTGTCAATTTTATCTTAGTTTCAGACACTTTCTAATTTTTATTTATTTTTGAAGAGAAGATTGGGGATTGCAGTAAAAGTAAAAATAAATTACATTTATTTTCTTTTTGCCAATGTTTCAGACTTCATCAGTGCTAAGCAAAGACAAGATAAGAAATAAATAGTAAGAAAATAGTGGACAGTAATAATGATAATATGTATTGGTGGGAGGAACTAGTCAGGCAAGTGGACCTATCATGGTCCTTTCAATCATAAGTGCTAAAAAATAAAATAAATAGCATGTCGTAGTTGCTATAAGTTGTATATGTTCAGGGGAAGTGAAATAAACAAATAATAATAATGAATAAACAAAGAAAAGGTGAAAGAAGTAATATAAACAAAATAATTTTATAATATACTATAAAATTTAAATATAAATTTGTTGAAATACCAGTTTTAATAACTTGTTGCCTATGTGTACATTTATGGACGGACATAAATTCATAAATAATTAAACTTTATAATATAATTAAATTAAAGAAAATAATATATAATTTTATTTATTTTTATAAAGTGTAACAAAATAATCAAGAGACAGAACATGAATGTTATTATTGAAAAAATTCCAAGCCACACAGCCTTCTGTCTCCATAATGCAGGCAAAGAAAAACCTGTCAATTTTTTGCCAATCCAGGCGTCACCAGGACATAAAAACATCTGAAAGAACATCACTTCTTGAAATCCAAATGCATACTCTGTATTATATTTCATGGAGTGATGTTCTATTAGCTGTTTTTCTGTCCTGGCGATGCCTGAATTGGTGAAACATTGACGGATTTTTCTTTGCGGCGAAACATTGATGGATTTTTCTTTGTCTGGATTTTGGAGACATGAGGCTGTGTGGTTTAGAATTTTTCCAATAATAACCTAACATTTATTTATTTTGTAAGTATCCCTAATCTAAAAATATCTTCTTTCTTTATGGCATTGGTTTTTTTCCAGGTGGTTATAGCTGCCTTTCCTGATATAGTAAAGCATCTTTCGTCACCCAGCCTCGTAGTACACTCCTATGCAGCTTCAGCTATTGAGAAGTTATTAATTCTGAAACAGAACAACCAACCACTGTAATTAAATTTTCATAATTTGTTTTCTAACAATTCTTTTAAGTATAGTCTACAATATAATGTCCTCAAATAGGAAACATTCACTCTTTTAATTGAAAATAAAAAGAGTATATCGACAGCCACACTGCAAAAGTCAGTAAGAACGAAAACTAAGGATATTCAGGAGACGAAAAAAAAATGCATAATTTTTATTTTATAAACATTATATTTGCAGTTCAATTTTCTTTTTGGGGGAGGGGGCTAAGAAAAATATGAAATGCTCTATGTAAATTTGTTGATCCTATTTCTGCCAAATAGTCTTTTAAACCCAATTTAATAACTTACAGTAGGAATTTACTTCTAATTTACAGCTTTTTACTTACTTTGAAAAACAGGTATTAGTTAGGTTAAAGCAATAAATTTATTAAATTAACACTCATAACTTTGATAATAATGATCAAATCACGACAGGGACAAGTCAGCTTCTAAAATATAGAGAAATTGTACTTCAAATGACAATTTACTGTTTTGTCTCAGGTCGGCACCTCAGATGGAAAGATGTGCATAATAATTGAGGGGCAACCTGATAACTAAAGTTATAAATGAAAAAATAGTTATGAGTTCGCTTCCTGGTGGCAGGGAAGTCTTTTAACTCTGGTATTAATCCCCCGCCCTCACCTCCTGGCTGGGCCTATTATAGCCTAAAAGGCAAGAGAGGGAAGGGGAAAAAAAAATGTAATTTAATATAAAAATGAAATAAGTTTTTAAGGAAAAGATAAGTTCACAAGTATCTTGAATAATATGTGTTTAGATATTATTTATTTTCTCATTTATTGTAATTAAATCAAAATATAATTTATTTAACTCTTAGTAAATAATTTAAATTAATTGTTATGCCCTTTTCTGTTCGATTTATTTTTTTTTTCAGAATATATTAATTAGCTATTAATTTATATTATAAATACAACTTTTATGAATAATATATATATTTTTTATTTTAGAATAACACAGGAGCTCCTACGACCAATTGCTGGTGAACTTCTTACTGGTCTATTCAATATTCTCAATTTAAAAGGCTCAGAAGAGAATGAATATGCTATGAAAGGTTAGTGGAACAAATTAATATTTGAGATGTGAAATTGGGTATTTACATGTATTTTCAATTTTTATTCATCGGTTAAGATTATATTATAACAATAAAAATACAAAAATCCCAAATTCTTCTAATGCACATTTATAAAGATAGTTTAAAGTAAAAAAACAAAACAAAGTAATGGGAGCAGAGCTACCTCTCAGGAGTGCTGACTGTTAGGTCAGGGGCTGGCAGCAACTAGCTCTACTATTGGATATCTTATACTTTTAGCCTCAAATTGTGTTTCCAGATTCAAAACTTTTATCTTAAAAATATTTTTCTGGGAAAAATGTATAGTGGTAGACAATATTTTTTACACTAGTATGCAATAAATTTGTATGGAAATATTTCTTCATATTTAGAAACCTGGTGTTATTGACCACAAAGCAGAATATTTTCAAAATTTCTCTTACGGTTTATGAAAACACCAAAAACTTTCTTTGAGAGAGATAGTTATATCATAGCAGTATTGTTTTTTTTATTTTCAACGTTTTGTTGATAATTTATTGATTCTTAGGTATCAAAGTTATTAGAACTTTACGGTACCATAGGTGATGGCAACAAAGAGCGGACATGGTACTTCAGCACTAATGATATCTGGATACAATTATTCAGTTAATTGTGAAGGATCTTTTTCTGCCATAATCTTCTTTTATATGTTTTGATACAAATTCTGGTACTTTTCGTCTAGGGGGCCGCTACTGACTGCTATCTGCCAATGTTTATAACCTGAACACTGATAACTCACATAACACAGTGATAAGCCTTCTTTTACTTCATATCTTCATATTATTGTATTAAATTTGTATTATTGAAAGTGTAAACAGATACAAAAACAAATGTAATAACAAAAAAAATACTTTTATTTGACGACACATATATTAATGAAATAATAAAAAACCACATTTAAAAGAACATATTTACATAGAAAAGAAAAAATATAAAACAAAATCTGTTTTATAAAAAGAAAAAACATTCATCTGTTTCTCGGCAAACTCCACCAAACATCCACTGCTGAGATAAAACTCTCCCCACATGATTTTTTCGTTTAGAAAAAAGACTTTCTTTTACTTCAACCACTTTGCCAGGTCCTCCAATTTTTTTCTTGGCCTATATAACATGTCATGGGCACAAAAATCTCTTAGACATTTGTTCCACGTTACCGTTGCTCCGTAGGATAGTTTCAGCTGCTCTTTGCCCCACTTCGCGTCGGCAAGTACCCCAACATTTTAAAAATATTGAAGTGCCTGTTCTTCTGAAGGCGGCCAATTCCATATTCTAAGAAGATCCATAATATGATGAAAAGAAACACAAAGGGGCCACAAACTAAAAAAAATGTAAAATAAACACAAACGGGCCAAAAACTAAAAATAATGAAAAATAAACACAAACGGGCCAAAAATAAAGAATTTAATAAGTGAACGTAATAAGGGAATAACTGAAAACTATACAATACAATAACTGACGTTAGATAAGATAGATAAGAAGTGAGGTTTCAGTCCGGCCTGCTAGACAAAAAGTTCCAAAATTATTTCTACTGGTCTCATTTTCATTCTTTGGCAAGATAACGCTGTTGCAGATCTGCCCTACCCAAATGACTTCACTAACCAAATTCATTATTACTTATAATGAAACTTTGAGTTGCACTTTAGCTAAACGTGTTTTTAAACAATATAATACTAAATGGGAAAAAAAGTGTAAAACATTATTTTTATTCAATAATTCAATATAATTAATTTTCGAGTCTTAATTAATAAGATATTTGTTTAACTTTTCTTTCTCTGAATTTTTCTAATTTCAGCTGCATATGGTATTCATTAGGAGACAGGGGTAACTCAGTGGTCGAGCACTGATCTTTCAATGCTTGAGGTCTTGGGGTCGGATCCCGGCTCATGGTAGTTAAATTATTTACTCTATTCCATCAGCGGTGAGGTGACCCTGAGATCGGGAGACCCTCTTGGGGCACACCCAACTCTTAATTAATAATAAGAGGAAAAACCTGGTGATTGTGCATGATCTCAGTCAAATCATCTCCTTTCACAACCAGTGACTAAGATGCAGTACTTTCCCTAAATAGTACTGAACCCAAGACCCTTCATGGGTTATAGTGGTACAGATTTTTTTGATTTTTTATTTTCATTAATTTAAAATTATAAAAAGAAGCTCGTAGTTATACTTAAACATTATAATAATGATACATGCAAATTTTTATTCATTTAATATTTTTTTTTGTATGTATACAATGAGAAACCAAGTATCTACAGAAATATAACATTGCTCGGTGGGCCGCACATGTAATTGGGTTGACCAGGTCTGACTTAGCTAGTCTCAAAATTTAGTTTTTATAATTTTTACTTTCATTTACCTATATATATATATAATATATTGTAAGGGAAAGCATTGTGATTGTGAAAATTTTCAAAACAGTTTTCAACGGAAATACATGTTTGGAGGTCCCCTGAGTCCAAATAATCAAGTCCCACAAAATGGTCTGTGAACAATCTAGCTCAAAAATGAAAAGTTGTACGAAATTTAAAATACATATTTAAGTTAAGTATCTGTCTGGATTGTTACAGCAACTTTTTCCTTAACATTGGCTAGCTGAAAATATCACTTAATATCATTGATTTTACACATTTTTACAATTTTCTCGGCTCTAACAATTTTGATTAAACTCGGTGTGTCAACGTATAATTAAGTGGTCTTTAATATCTTTTAGGTCTTGTCCCAATTGATGTCACTTAACAGAGGTTAAATTCCCAATATTCCAAATTTCTTCCTCTCTATTACCTTTAATTTTACTTTTACCTTTAATTTTATTTTAAATAATTAACTTTATCTCATTGTTAGCAGTTATAAAAATTGGCTAAATATAACTTTTAAAAGAATTTGGTAATTTAATAGAGGATAAAAAAGGAAAAATGTTTATTTAGGTCGAAAATGAATCTCTGGAAAGTTATACGTATAATATATTGTTGGAAAGCAGAGAATGTCAAAGAAAAAAAACAATATCTAATATAGAAAGTTGTAGAAGGTAATGGAGAGTAAAGCAAAACTTATTAATAATAATTTCTGAAAATTAATAATATTTAACTGAAATCACATGTTTCTGAGTAAATAAATGTAATTTTGTAACTAAATATATACTTTTAAAATTGTTTTTGTTTAAATAATATATAAAATCCACCTAATCGAGGCAATGACATTGTTCAAAAAACTATTTCATCGTACTTATGTGAAAGAAGTGAAATATAAAAATATTTCATGGATGTGGTAAACATATGTTTATAACCTTAAATACATATACTGTAGTTTATTAACTCTAGATCCAATATTACATTAAAATAATTATGTATCTATCATCCTTTTATTACAAAAAATCATCAAGTAACCTGTAGAAAATTAAATTATTGTATAATTTGATGGATTTTTCTTTGTGAAATCTCAACATTATCAATTTACAATTAGTGTGACAACTTTGACCTATCCATGACAGGCAATAAAAATCTTACCTCTCAACTCCATTTTAGTAAACTTTACTATGGAATATAAGAGTTTAATAACTAATAGTTGTACAATCCATTATCATTTAAGCATTAAGTATATATAGTTGTGAATTACAGTTTCCTTTCTGAAATTATAATTGTGTTATACTAAAAGCAATCAAAACTCTCCTCTCTTTATATCTCTGTAATCAAGTGGAATGAGGTTGAGATTAAGAATAGAGGATCTATTTATTATATTTTTGTTTGTTGCCAGTTTCATGATCAGTTCATTATATTATTTTTTTTTTCTAGCCATAATGAGAGCTTTCAGCACCTTGGACGAGTCTGTTATCCCATGCTTAGCCGAACTGCTGCCCAAGCTGACACAGAAGTTGACTATTGTTGCTAAGAATCCTAGTCGTCCACACTTCAACCATTATCTTTTCGAAACCATTTCTCTCTCTATTAGGTAGGTATATAAAGTTTAAAGTATCATGTATTTTAATGTATACTTCAAAATGAATAATTTTGGTACAGCTTAACTTTTACTTTTAATCTAAGAGGAGTAAATTTCAACTTCAACTAAATCAACCATTAGTTACTTTTAGTACAGCTTCATGAAATTCAGTTTTTGGAAATAACTTTTTATTTTGGTCCATTTCTTTGTTAAATAATATAATATCTGGTGGTATTTTTTTTTTTTTTTCTGTTTTTCTTTAATTCTTTTCCTGTATTTCTTCAATTTAAACTAAAATTTAATTTCTTAATGTAGTCATATGTCAAAGATCATTAAGTTAATCCGAATATATCAACACGTTGTGAAGAGGTATTTATACATTACAACTTTCTAGTAAAAATGTGAATCCATTGTAACTTAAAAAAAAAAAAAAAAAAAGATATATATATATATATATATATATATATATATATATATATATATATATATATATATATATATATATTATATATATATATATATATATATATATAAATAAATATATATATATACTTATTAAGGCACTTTGCTCATTTGGTGAAAATTTGATGGAAAAAGTTTTTAATTTTAGATTGCAATTTTTCTAAGTGCAAAATACAAATTTCAATTTAGTTTCTTCTTAAAAGAAATCTTTGAGCCTTGGGTCGGTACAAATTGTTTCATTTCAACTATGTAATCATACTATAGCTATATTCCAAACAAATTTGTTATAATAGAGCTCTACTAAAAAACATAAATAGAAAAAATGCTATAAAAATATCTTATCAGTCATGTTTGTTTTCGGTTTCAATGATTTTTTAGGAAATTCAGAAAGGTTTCAAATACTCATAGGCTTAATAAATCAAAAATTGTGTTCTTTTTGAGTTATTCACGAATAAAATTCTGAATCCATCGTTGTTTTGTTTTTTATCCTCTTTTCTGGGAAGTATGTTGTATACATAAATTAAAAGTTCTTCAAGGAGAAGACTTTAGCCAATTCTCAAAATTTCTTCAGCTACCATTTCAAAACGAAAGGCTGGATGGTAATGAAATGTACATGTAAACAATCCTGAATTTGATTGCAAAGTTGTATAAAAAATTCAAATGAATTGGTGAAGAACGTTCAGATATAAATGATTTTGAACGAACTAACATTTACATTTTCCTTTATATACACTGCTCCCAAAATTATTTTAGTGATAACTCTAAAATTCAGCAATAGCTACAAAACAAAAAAAGAAAAAGAAAAAAGACTTACTGTAAGTTCCTGTGGGTCCTTAATTAATTTATTCTTATATTCTGTATAAAAATTATGCATTTAGAAAATTCACAATGTATTGTAATGATTTAAAAAAAAAAATGTTTTCACAGGATAGTGTGTAAAAATAACCCTGGTGCTGTGAGTGCATTTGAAGAAGCTCTCTTTCCAACCTTCCAAATAATATTTCAAGAAGATGTTCAAGGTAATTTTATTTATATATTTTTTCAAACATTATTTACTATAATTTTCTGTTACTGATATTTATTTTTATTTATACAAATATTCCAATTAAGGTGTGCATTAAAAAGATCACTGGCAAATTTTTAGTGTTCTTTAAATAAGCAACGTTTTTGCAGATTTATTTTGATTCTTTTATATTAATTGAATTATTTACTATTATTTAATGATTAGGTGATAAATATTTATTATTCTTACAGAGTTCGTACCTTATTGTATGCAAGTGTTGTCTCTAACACTTGCACGGAGGTCACCCCCTCTGCCTGCGCCCTATGTTGCTCTATACCCATGTCTCCTGTCACCTCAACTCTGGGACAGACCAGGCTGCGTTCGAGGTCTTGTTTGCCTTCTGCGTTCCTATGTCCGGGTCTCGTCCAACGATGATTTCAATCAGACAGTTAAAGTTGTAAGTTATGATTTTCATATTTGAGAATATCCATTCAGGAATATTAATAAAAATGTATTTGTAGAAATCTATAAAATGCGTGTTATAGAAAATATTTCAAGGAATTACTGAAAGAAATTATTTTATAATGATCCAATTACCCTTTTAATAAACAAGCCATAAGAAATGTTCAGTTTTGGATTATTATTAAGAATTATTTGGTTGCAGTTTGCAACTAAATAGATTTTTAAGTTTGAATTTTTTAAGCAGAAATCATTGTTTCATTCAGTTATAAATTAAATCAAACTGTTCCACAAAGGAAGTACTGTACTGTTGTTTAAGTTTTTGTTGGCATGGAGATGAAATTAAAAATATTAGTTATTAAAAAACTGTATTTATAAGTTTACTCGAAAGACAAAGTTCAGTAAATTAAAATTAATAAAACAATTTATATCCAAATTGACATTCCTAACAAACCGTGAACACAAGTATGGACCAGTTGTAGTCTCAGAGCAAAGCCATGAACGGCATATGGCATAGGACACACTGTATATGGTTGTCATTTTTTTCTCCTTTTAATTACATATTCTAAAATGCCCACCAAAATAAATATCTTCAGATTTGGTTTTCATCTATTCTGCTAGACGAACCTAGCTTCCAACTCAATTAATTCTGGAAAGTCATATGAATGAATGAATGAAAACGTGTTTATTAAACTTTTTAAAAAATTACACAAAGTAAAAAATATATATACAAGCAACAACACATAGACAATGGAAAATTCTGTCTGTCGAGGTCTGTGTGTAATTAATAATAAATATTCATCACATTTATAACTAAAATAAATGAGCAATAATATATCTACAGTATTATTATGTTTTTATACATCCATTCTAGCAATTTTCTTTTTCACTGTCTCATTTGTTTAAATAGAGTTTTCAAAAAACGAACATTAATACATCAAAAATCCAATAAATAAGAAATTTAAATTCAACAATAATAATAATCATCAAATACAATATAACAATAAAACAAATGTTACAATAAATAAACACGATATTGTATCAATAGTTTACTATCTGACTAATTGAGATCTTTGCAATGTGGCCTGCTGTACATAACTGCTTAAGGCTTTCCAGTTAGAACCCTTTAAGAAACCAAATAATTCTTCTGGAGAACAGGTCCGCTGCCCAAAACATTTCTCTCTTAACTCACTGAACATGTGGCAAGTCCCCAAAAAATGAATGATATCCTCTTTTTGTTGAGAGTTACATATCGCACAGCAATCGTTGTCCCCCACCATCCATGGTTTTACGCTTAAATCGAGCAATTCTATCCTACATCGAAAAATTGACCCTATAGTCACAATATCAAAACTATCATTAAGATAGGGTGTAACAGTACCCACTGAACATAGTCCAGCGTAAAAAGAAAAACTTGAATGAAAACATTTTTGAAGGTTATTTTGTTTTTCTAAGGCCTCTACCCTATGACTAACAACAGTCAATTTTCTGCGCAGACCAGCTACATTTGCAGTATCAAGATTAATTTTGCAACTATCCTCAAATTCTAACCACTTTTGGTACCAATAAACTCTTAGTTATCACCTCTTTCACTAGGATATGTGGCAAACGGAAACCCGGCATCTTCTGGAAATTCATATATAGTCACTTATTATGTTCACTGCTGAGTGACATTTTCTAAAACTGTTCCACCACCCCCATCCCCAAAGCCATATGCCTTCAAAGAATATAAAAATACTACAAGTTTGATCGCATGTGGCCTAGGTAAAACAAAAAAATTCAACGAATTAACTCGTAGCTGGTGACTATAAGATAACTTATATAAACGGAAATATATTAATTATTCATGTTTTTTTTTTGTTTTTTTTGTGGAACATTTTATTATGATAATGGTATTGTATTGATAATCCATAAACATTTTTTATTATAACATTAATAATTTTTAAAATGTATGCATGTTATTTTTAGAACGGGCTTCTTGGGGTATTCCAGAAGTTGATATCTTCTCGGTTGAACGATCATGAAGGATTCTATCTGATGCAGTCTCTCATAGAACACTGCCCTCGGTAAATTTGCTAAAAATTATTTTATTCACAAACGCTGCATGTCAAAGAAAGCTTTAGTACTGCATAATTCGCATTATTTTATTATTACTTATTTATTACAGAGAACTTCTTGACCCGTTTATGAAACAGGTAGTTCTCCTTCTCTTCCAAAGACTGACTGCGGCTAAGACAACCAAATATGTCAAAGGTCTCATCACGTTCTTCTGTTTACTTGTCGTCAAATATGGGGCACCAACATTTATAGAACTTGTTGACTCTGTACAACCTCAGTAAGTTTATTTAAATATCAATTTATTTTTTCTTACTCGTACATGAATGTTTTATTAATCTCCCAGACAAACTTCTTTACTATTGTCCAAGTTACTATCATTGTATTTAAATGTATTTATTACTGTGTTGGTTGAATTTCCATCTCTGTCATGTATTTCAAACTCCTAATTGTCTTTCTACTATAAATTTTAGCCCATGGTATTTTAATTATTATTATATTTTTTAACATAATGTTATAGTTATTATGTATTTTAATTAAGGTAAAAAAAACGCCTAGCAGTTATTGTCACCTGTATAATATGGTATTTAAATTATAAAACTATGATTATTTTCATTCTTTTTAAATTTGACATCCACCTTAAATTTAATTAGTGCATATATCTGTTTAACAAAAGGTCTGAAGTGTATTATTTTTAAAATATGGAAATTTATAAAATTGCCATGTAATTCATGTGAATTTGGATATAAATGAAAAATATATATCACTAAGTCTGTTGGAGAAATCGATGAAGTTAAGAGGTTTGGTATAAAGAATTTAGGTAGCATAAGATGTGTCTCAAAATTAAATATTGTTCAGATTTCTTTTAATCATCAAATACCTGGTTTAGATTTGTATAGAAACTGATAACCTTTTTTTTTTTAGAAGTTAACTATCATTAAACTAAGATTGAGGAAAAATTTCCAAGGCTTTGTTTATACTGTAAAATAATGGATTTTCCTTAATTCTTGTGTTTTTCTTTTCTCTCAGGTATTTCATTAAAGAAAAATATATAGATATTCTTTTCCTATTGTTCCTTGTAAAATTAAATTCTTGCTGACTTAAATTGATGTAGGTCAGTGAAAAAAAAAGACATGTAGGGGTACAGTTAATGGTTCAGTTTTGAATCTTTTAATTCATTAAGCTTTTATTTTTACTTTCACTTACTAAATTATATATGAAATGTATAGCAAGGTAAGTATTGCGATCATGAAAATTTTCGAATCTGAGTTTTCAACAGAAATACATGTTTTGAGGTCTCCTGAGTACAAATAATCAAGTCCCGCAAAATGATCTGTGTGTGTGAACAGTCTAGCTCAAAAAAAAAAAAATCGTTCAATTTTAGCAAACTTTGCAATGAAAAATAACTGATATTCGTACAATCCATAATCAACGGATCGTACAACCCATAATCAACCGGTGATATAATAAATAGGACTTTTGTTATTTTAATGGTATTTATGATTTGTTAGCTGTAAGATTTTAGCTTTAGCTCGCTTAAAACTGCAATTACAAAATTTTTTAATAGCCTAACACGGCCAGAAAATCATTTCTATTCAAAGTTGAGCGATAAGTGAAAGATGTGTATTGCGCAGCACCAGATTTTTTTGTAAAAATTATGGAGTAATTTATTTTTTAAATTCGAAATACTCATATATCTGAAAATAAAATTAATGTGCATATTTAAAAAAAAATGTGTAATTATTTTCTAAACTTTTAAAGCCTTGATCCTTATTCATATATTTTAAAAATAATGTTATTGTTTGTTTTTTTCACAGGATGTTCTCAATGGTTGTAGAGAGGCTCATTACTCCTGATTGCCGGAAAGTATCTGGTTCTGTGGAGAGAAAGATAACTGTTGTTGGATTATGCCGTCTTGTTGCTGACTTGAAACAAGTTTTCTCTGGACCATACTCAGCCTGTTGGTAAGATATTGATTATTAATTACTTCAAAATATGTAAGATTAATGGTAGTATAAAAACTTGCTGTTTCAGTTTGAAATTGACAAATTTAATTTGAAAAGATGCTGCCAAAAAAATATGTATTTTTAATTGTTTTACTGTTTGTATAGTTTTTTATTTTTATTTTTTCTGAGAATTGAATACTGAGCTTACTGCATTTATAATAATATATTTTCTTTATTACAATAAAGCAGAGGAACTTTACAGCTTGGGTGTAACGATACTAAAAAAAATAAATAATCTGTTTTACTACAATCCATGGCGGTCTAGAGTTCATTAATTTGTTGGGAAATACTGATAGTCACTGGTTGTGCAAGTTGGTTTGATAAAACTTGATCTTACTCAATCGCCTGTTTTTTCTTCTTAATTAATTATTTATTTAGAAGTACCCACGTGTAACTGATTAAATAGTTACCTATCACAGCTGAACTTGCACCCGGAAGCATAGGATCACTCCAAAATTGGAAGAAATTTTTTTATGATGGCAAAAACTAATGAAGCAATAGATGTAAGAATAGCTCCTCTATGTAACTAAAAGTTCTCTTTGAAACAGAAAGCTGTTTCTGAAACTTGTAAACAAAGAATTGATTCTAATGTTAGTGTAATATTACTGCATTAAGTTAAAAGAACAATTCATCTGATTTCGATGAAATTTGGTATACATGTTTCTTAGACATATATAATATATACACGCATATAGTATATATATAAATATATATACATGTATAGGACTTGTGTTTCCTTTATGGTAGTAAATCTTACCTGATTTGTGGGGATAAATCAAAACTTTTTTTAATATTTTGTTCATTTTACTATCAATTTGTTATATTCAGGAATTATTTATGTATTTTCAAAAAATGAAATCGAGAAAAGCCATCTTTTTTTATAAATTCTAATGTGGCTAAAGTGCTCTCGCTCAAATTTCACTGGCTTTAGAATCAGCGACACGGTTGAGAGAGTAGCGGAGGGATATCCTGGAGTGCTGCTTTTCCCTCTATAGTTAAAAGGACTAGCTTCCCAAGCTTGGAGTTCTTTTGCCTGATTGTAAATAGTGTATATAGCTAAATCTGTTTTGTTTTTTAAATTTATTTATCTTGTAAGTTATTTTACTTTATAAACTTTTTGATTATTATTTAATTAGTATTTTGCTTCTGTTTATTTATATTTTCTTTATATATAGTTTAAATGTAGTCGTACCTCTCTATAAACATTGTCCATGTGACAAAACGTTATATTACACAATAAATAAAAACCCATACATTCTATGATGGTGATCCTATTTATTTTTATATGTAACCCTCTTCATGTATCCAGAACAACTTTCATTCATTTGGCATCAATTTTCCACTTCTTGATCAGCATCTCCTCCATATATGGACGACCCCTACTTTCTTATCAATAACTTAAATCTACTTTTCATTATGTTATGATCTTGTATCCTTTATAAATTGTATTATTATTTATACTTTCAAAATTTCAGGCCAGCTCTTGCTAAAAGTGTGGTTGAATTATTAGAAGCCCCGGAGGATGATTCTGTTGCTCCTGAAGATCACTTTATAGAGGTGGATAATTTACCAGGCTATGAACCAGCTTATGTCCATCTGACTGCAATCGGCAGTGATAAGCATGATCCTTTTCCTGGTAATATCATGTTCACTATCTAACATAATTTTTAAAAAATAAATTGCTTTTAATAATTAATAACTGACCAGTACAAACATTTCGTAAATATTGATTTCTATCTGATTTTTAGAGGTTCAGCATAACTTATAAGTTTATACACTCTAAGATTTTATAATTTTTTTTTTTGTTTTAAGTAAAGGCTTCAACCACTCGGTTCATTATTGCCTTAATTTCATTGAGAATTAGATTCTATTTTCAATTTTCGAACATTTCAGAAAAGAAAATAATTGGTCAATTTCATTTACATTCCTGTAAAATGATGTGTAGATAGTTTATCAAGTCACAAGTTAATCTAAATGTTTCGTAAGCTCTGCATTCTGTTAAAATGTGTTTCACTGTCAGAGGAGTCCCACTGGTTTGGCATGATGGCGAAGAATCATGGGCCATCAGGTATCCATGAGTAAGGCATCTATGACCTATACGCAGGCGCGTAAGAATTACTTCCTGTCCACACTTATTCCTATTTGACGATGCCCAAGAGGAAACATCATCCTTAATCTCAGTTTATTTCTGTTTGATGATGGTTATATAATCCTCGATTGGTACTCTCCGATAATGTATTTCATCAGTTATGGCTTTTTTGGCAACTGGATCGGCCAGTTCATTTACGGCTATTCTGCAATGCCCAGGGACCCACCCAGACAAAAAATACTGACATATTATTTCTGTTTGCGGACTTTATTGAGTACAGAACATTTTGTATGATAATATTAAATAATATAATTAAATAATAATAATATAATTAAATAATAATAATGATATTAAATAATAAGTTTATTTAATGATAATTACAGTTTACAATATGTACATATTAATCGGTCATGTCTTGGTGTAATTATTTCACACTACAGTAAGATTTAATACAATTCTTACCACTGTGAGAGTTCTGAAGCATAGCAGAATTTTTTTGTTTTCATGTAAAAGCAAAAGCTGATAATGTGATTCGCTATCTCTCTTATATTTTTAAACTAATAATATAACTTCGGAAGCTCACTTCATACTTTTGGGATACTTCCTAAATAAAATAAGAGATAGTTAAATAATAAACAAAATTATAAGAGTATTAATATATTAAATTGGAATTTATTATTATTTTATAAAACACTCCGACTAACTATTATTATTTACACTATTTATACTAAAATTAAACAATGATTTTAAAATAAAGTCATGTATGGATAGGCGAGCTAACCTTTTTCTATGTATACTGTTTCCACATTTGTTGCACTAAATTCATTTGTCTTATAACATTTTCCTATGTTCTGCCAAATACATCTTCCAAAATGATAACACTTTCATCAACTCAACTCTACCTCCCTGGTAGATCCTCTCTTTTGTATTTTCAAACAACTAGTCTCTCTGGAAAACAACTTCCAAGATGGCAATCCTATTACTGGATTTTACCCACTGGAACCAGGATCTCATCCACTCTTCACCCAAGCCAAACGTCAACTACTGTCCAAAACAAAAACCTTTGTCTCCCTCCCTTCTTTGGGATTTTCCTTTTTGGGTAAACCAAAGAGCAGCCATTCTCTATTCCCTGAACTAGTGAAACTAGATTAGCTTGCTTTTTAACTGTTACAGTAACCATTTTTAACAACTTTCAATTAAGGTGTATATTATAATATGTAATATATAGTACGGGAAAGTATTGCGATCGTGAAAATTTCGAAAATTAATAGTTGACCATTGTATTATAAAGGAAGGAGATGGCCCAGGGTGTATTTCATATAATTCATAGATATGTTTATAACCTTAAATACATTTACTATAGTTTAATAACTGTAGATCTGATACTATATTTAAATAATTAGCATCTATCACCCGTTTATTCCGAAAAATCATCAAGTAAACTTTTAGAAAATTTCCATTTTAGTAAACTTTGCAATGGTAAATGACAGTTTAATAACTAATAGTCCTACAATCCATAATCACCCATTGATATAATAAACAGGATTTTTGTTATTTAATCATGAATGGTATTAATGATTTGTTAGCTAGCTGTATGCTTTAAGCTTTAGCTCGGTTGAAAATGCACTTCAAAAATTTTAGAATAGCCCAGCATTGACAGAAAATAATTTTGATTTAAAGTAGAGCGGTTAGTAAAAGCTGTGTGTTGCACACACCAGATTTTTATATATGTCATTGGTAATTTAATTTTATATATGTTCTTTCCAGTAAACATTTTTTTTCATTTATAGATATTAGTGATTTGAGAAGAGAACTTGCTAATGGGATCGGCAGCCTCTTCAAAGTTTCAGGACAAGTTGTCACCCAAGCTATCGCCAACCTTGGAGAACCTTATACTAGTCACATCAAAAGCTATCTCACCCTGATAGGAGTTATCATATAGACTGAATAGTTAGCTGATGAACTGTGTATGAGACTCTCTGTTTCTAATGTATATTATGTGTTCTGGTGTTCTGAAAGATATTGCATCCCAGAATATTCTGTTGTACATTTGAAATACTTATGTATAAATTGTTTTGTTTTATTATTAAGTGTAACTTGTAATAAAAATACAAACTTTTTGTATTTTTTATAAAAATTTCATTTGAAATCCTTTTATTCACTCCTTTTTTTTTCTTTAAAATATTTAAAGAGTTTATAAAATGAAATGAAATGAAAAACTGAAATGATACAATACATAAGTTACTTGGCAGAGGGAAATATTATGAATGGAAAATATATGACTAATTAGTGAAATAATTGAAGTGACTATTTTTCATTACAAAAAACATTATCGTTCATTTGTTGACTATAAAAAAGGAAATCAACTGTCAGAACCAGGCTAGAAATTCCAAAATGTAATGTCACAGATGGTATATGATTTTCCAAAAAAGAACAAATTAATTAGGTATTGGTTCTCCATTCCAATAATCTGGATCTAGTCATAGATAGTATTCAAGGAGTGTAAGAAGAAAAAAATCATAAATGTACATAAATATGATAGACTACTGTTTACTTGACATTTACCTACTAGTCCAATTTTTTTTCATCATTTATTTTAACAATAGGGATAGTTGATTCCCTAAGGTTTGTGTATGTCCATGACTATTAAATCTCAATTAATATTTTCCTTCCTGAGAAAAAGATTTAATTTATGATCTGTTCGGATTTAATACAGGGTTATTCTCTTTGCCAATATTTGATTGGCTAGGCAATAGGAACAAAATAATAATTGGTACTGTTTAATTAAGAAAAATAAGACAATTTTTTTTTTTGATGTTACTTCTATTTAACAGTAAATTTTCAGATACTAGTTAATTAGAAACCCCATAGTTTGTTTAATTATCCATCCCTTGGGAGCATTGATAGTTCTTATAAATTTATAAAAACAGGTATTGCTGCTTAATTATTCATTCATACCATACATACATACTAAAGTTAAAAAACAAAATAATAAAGACAGAAAAATAATTGCGATTATTTGTATTGAATGCCAAGGAAATGTAACTTTTAATTTCCCTTAATTTATTTTCAGTTATACTTGATCACATCTGCCCCCATTTCAAATTAATTTTCTTTTTTATGGTGGAAATAAAATCCTGGACAAGTACCCCCTCCTTCTCCCCCCCATATTTTGCATGATAATGTTAGATGTGTATTTAGATCGTTATTTACGACTTCTGCAAACTCCTTACTGATCCTTTACAATTAAAATATGGTTGTTTATTAGTTTTAATTTCATCACTACTTTTGACTCCTTGCCTAAAGAGATAATCAAACCCCAACAAGTCCATTGGCAGTATTTTAGTTTAGAAGCTTAATTTTGTTGTTTAAGTGATATGTTTAGTTTATTAATAGGTAGTTTTTTATTGGATATTTATACGTTTTAGTGTTTAAAGTGGTAGTTTTGGTTTAATGTTCAGTGATAGGTTTCATCTTCACAGACTCTTATTTTATTAGTGATATTTTGTTTAAAAGTTTAATTATGTTGTTTTAGTAATATATTTAGTTTACTAATAGGTACTTTTTATTTAATAGTTATACATATTAGTGTTTAAAGTGATTATTTTGGTTTCTTCTTCATAGACAAAATCGTGAGTATACTTTAATTCTTTACTTTATTTTATTAATTTTCCTTTTTAATTCAGTGGTAATGAAAGAAAAAGATGGAAATCAAGTTTGTAACTTGGTTATAAGAAGCTAGTGTCTATAGTTCGAGGCTACTAGCTAACACAATTTTTATCTTGAAGTCAGTAGTTTCTAGTATAAAATTGAAATTTGGTTTTCCTTTATAGTTATGATTACTTTCATCATTAAAATATGAGTATAGTTGATGATCCTTAGCTTTATTGAGATCTCTAGTAACTAAAAGTAGTTTTCTTTTATGCCAGAATAAATGATATGATACTCATCATGACTGATTTTTAGAAATAGATTGTTGTACTGCAAAAGTTCTGAAATGAAATTATTATTTTTCTTGTTGAAATCCTAAAACTATTAATGTTTATTCAAGATGTTTTTTTATCATTTAAGGATCATCAACTACACTCATATTTTTAATATTGAAAGTAACAATAACCAATAAGGAAAACCAAATTTCAATATTATACCTGAAATCACTGACTTCAAAATAAAAATTGTATTAGTTAATAGTCTCAACCTATAGAAATATCTTCTATAACCAAGTTTCAAACTTCATTTTAATCTTTTTCCTTCATAACTATTGAATTACAAAGGAAAATCAATAAAAGAAAGTAACAAATTAAAGGATTAAGTCATTTTGGAAACCTATATGAGCCCAAATCAACTCAGCAAGAGGTGATTTAAGAGGATTTTACATAGAGAAAAATGAGGGTAATTATTTACAAGTGGTACTCCTCCGGCCATCTTGTAAATAATTACCAAAATGAATATTTAATAGTTGACCGTTGCATTATGAAGGAAGAAGATGGTCCGTGGTTGCTGTCATAAATAGGCTAAATAGTGGTAAAACTATTTTATTGAAAGCCGACGTTTCGACCCGACTTTGCAGGTCTTCTTCAGGGCTACGGTTACTGACTAGTCCAACTACAGGAACTGAGTACTATAGAACTTTAGTTGGACTAGTCAGTAACCGTAGCCCTGAAGAAAACCTGCAAAGTCGGGTCGAAACGTCGGCTTTCAATAAAATAGTTTTACCACTATTTAGCCTATTTATGACAGCAACCACGGACCATCTTCTTCCTTTATTACCAAAATGAGTTCTGTTGATGAAGAACACATAATTAATTGTCACATTATTAAAGATAGTATTCTTAAGGGGTTTATTGTATTTAGACTTAGGATAAATTCAATTGGTAAAAATAATTTCCCTCATATGTCTATTTTTAGCAGTAAATCAGTAAATGTATATGTGCAGCATTTATAAATTGAAATTCCTTTGTAAATAAATAAATATTCTCTGTTTTATCTATTGTTTTTTATATTCCTTTGTTGATTAAAAATGTTTTCTATTTCAAGTTAATTTGGATATTTTTTCAATCAATTGATAATTGATTGTATTTTATCCTTACAGTTTTATGTTTCACTACTAGTTATTTTTACTTGGTATATCTAGTGTGATAAAATTGAAAATATATTATAGCCAACAACCTCTAATTTCCCAAAAAAGTTTGAAAAATAAATTAAACTAGGGAAAGCTTATATTCTGGACTAATGGAAAATTCAGGTGTGACAAACATTATTACAATTTATCATATTATGATTATTAATCCATTTCAATGATAACAGGTGTACTGATATTGGTAAATAGAAATTTTCAAATTATACAAAAACTAAGTTATACCACTCTGAAACAAATACTCTCCTACCACCAGGCTTAAAAGTAAAATGAACAACTTTTTCTATTTTAGATGCAATATGCAATATCTACATTATGGTAAGAGGTAAACCATTTCATAAAAAATATTTTATATCAATGATCAGAAATGAATCTGTTGATCGAGGATCAAATTTTGAACTATTTAAATTTGTAATAATAGTGGATTTATAATAGTTGGTGTTGTCCAAAATCAGTCTTGGTCATGCACTTTGCAAGATCAAGACCGGAAAAAAAAATCCCTTTTATGAAGAAAAATTAAGGTAAAATAGTCACTAAAACTTGAAAAATTGAGTTGCCATATGTAAAGAAGTGGTATAACCAATATCATTTGGAATTTAACTCTCAATTTTTCATTTGGGCTTAGTTAGGTTTTCCGTATCTGAAAAATTACAGTAATTTCAAACATCTCATTTCTCTATTCACTAGTTTCATTTTGCTGTGGAGCACAAAATATACTTCAGAGAATTTGTTGTTTACATTGAACAAACTTTGGATCATTATTCTTTCTATAATCTATTCTTACACCACAGAAAGAACCTTAAAAGTAAATAATGATGTTGCTTTTACAACCCTTATTTCTTAGTCTGCCTGTGTCCCTTAACAGGGGTGCCAAGAAGGGAGTTTCATGCCACAAGTTGCGCCATCAAAATTTTTAAGGAGGCACATGTTGACTGGATTTTGAATTTTTGAGTGAAAAGTTTCAAAACAGAGAATTGGGAAGAAACATGGGACATACCACTCCAGGTATAATTGTATATGATCTTGGAATTGTCTAATCTTACTTTCGCTTGCATTGCTTTTAAGAAGGGGAGTGAAATACAATTTTTGGAGAGAGGGGGATGGTTCATGCGCCATCGACCTTGGAGGGGATGGGCACCCCTTAAATAGATGTACAGGGAAAGTTTGAACTAATTAATATATTTTACTAATTGAACTAGCGTAATGAATGAGAGAGTTGAGAAAAAATGTTACGGGAAAAAGATAAGGATAATTTTGGTTATTTTTCTAGAGGGGAGGGCATACAGAAAAAAATTCAATAGAACCTCATTCATCTTCAATAATCTGCATAGACTTTAGATAAAGATATTTTTCCAATCATGTATTTCAACTTTGAAATTATTTTCATTTTTTATATCAAAAAATAATTATAGGCTAGGAAAATCTTAATCTTGGTATCATCCAATTCTCCAAACATGTTAGAACAAATGAATACATTTTCAAGAATTTAGTTCAATAATTACTACTTTACTTAGAGAAGCAAAGATGCAAACATGCTAGTTCCAGCTCAAATTTTTTTCCAAAAAAGTTCGAATCTCTTAATTTCAAATATGAAACTGCTTATTATAAGTAGGTAAAATTTGACACTTTTTTCTTATGTGTGTATTCGCTTCCTAAATATAAAATTTTCATTAAAAACTGTACTGGGTGTCCTGACCCACCCCTGTATGATATGTAAAGGAATGACCCATGGTATTTATTCCATTTAATAAAGTAGAATTTTTATTTATTAAGAAGTAAAGCACTAATTTTAAAAAATATTCTTT